CTTAGTATTCAAAACCTCAAAGTGACATCCTTGCTTTCAACACCTTAAAGAGATCCTTTGCAGCAGTTTTGCCCAATGTAGTATGTCATTTGATTTCTTGACTGCTGCTTCCATAGGTATAATATTATTATTGAGTATGGATCCAAGTAAAATGAAATCCAAGTAAAACAACTTCTGTATTTTCTCTGTTTATCGTAATATCGCTTATTGGTTCAGTTGTGAGGATTTATGTTTCCTTTATGTTGTGGTGTAAGGTACACTGAAGGCTATAGTTGTTGATGTTTATCAGTAAGTGTTTCAAGTCCTCTTCACTTCCAGCAAACAAAGTTGTATCATCTGTGTATCTCAGGTTTCTAAGGTCTTCCTCCATTCCTGATGCCATATTCTTCTTCATACAGTCTAGCATCTCAGATTCTTAGCTTTGCATACATATTGAATAAATATAATGAATGATATGACCTTGACACACACTTTTCCTGATTTTAAACCACACAGTGTCTCCTGCTTTGTTTGAGTGACTGCCTCTTGGTCTATGTACAGGTTCCTCATGAGCACAATTTAGTGTTCCAGAATTCCCATTCTTCTCAATGTTATCCATAATTTGTTAATGACTTAATAAATTCATTGCTAGTGTATATAGAGAAAACTAATTTTTGTAAATTGGTCTTGTATCCTGAAACTTTTCTGAATTGTTTATTAGCTCTAATAGTTCTTTTGTAGTTTCTTTAGGGTTTTCTGAATGTTGGAGCATCTGTATAGAAATACTGATACATTGATTATCTGTGAATAGAGATCATTTTCTTTTTCCCTCTCCATCTAGATGCTTTTTACTTATTTTTCTTGCCTAATTGCCGTAACTAGTATATCCAGTATCATGTTGAATAAAAATGGTGAGACTGGGCATCCTTGTCCTTTTCCCGATCTTAGGAGAAAAGCTTTCTTTCAGACTTTCACTATTGATGTTGCCTCTGTGTTTTTCATAGATGCACTTTATCAGCCTGAGAAAATTCTCTTTAGTCCTAGTTTTCTGAGTGCTTGTATCATGAAACGGTTTTAGAATTTATTAAGTGCTTTTTCTCCACCAATTGAGATAATTATGTGTTTTTTTTTCTTTTATTAATACGGTATATTATAGTGGCTTTTTTATTTTTATGTACAGTGAAATACACAAAACTAAAGTGACATAGCTCAATGCATTTTCTTTTTTGCAGTGTTCCCTCCCCTCCTCTCCCACCCCTGGTAACCAACAAACAAAATTTCCTTCCAGATATAAACCTTTCCTTGACTTTTTTACAATCATGAACTAATACTATGTTTGTCCTTCTGTGATTGACTTATTTCACTCAGCATAATGTACTCCAAGTTCATCCATGTTATGTGGTTTTTCAGATTCTACATTATTCTTCAATGTTGCATAGTATTCCATTGTGTGTATGTACCATAGTTTGGTTATCCATTCTTCTGTTTATGGGCATATAGGTTGTTTCCATTTTCTGCTGTGGTAAATAGTGCTGCAATGAACATGAGTGTGCATATGTTTGTTCTTGTCCTGGCTCTCACTTGTTTAGAATATATACTTAGTAATGGGATTACTGGGTCAAATGGTATTTTTAAGGAATCACCATACTGCTTTCCACAGTGGTTGTATCATTTGACAGTCCCACCAGCAGTGTATGAGAGTCCCAATCTCTCTTCATTCTCACCAGCATTTGTTATTTTCTGTCTTGTTGAACTTTGCTATTACTGCTGGAGTGAGATGGTATCATAATGTTGTTTTGATTTGCATCTCTTTGATGGCTAATGATTGTGAGCATTTCTTCATGTATTTCCTGGCTGCCTGAATATCCTCTGGTGAAGTGTCTGTTCATGTCTTCTGCCTGTTTTTTAATTGGATTGGATTGTTAATCTTTTTGTTGTTGAGGTGTTGGAGTTTCCTATAAATTTTAGACATAAGTCCGTTGTCAGATATGTCATTGCCAAGTATTTTTTCCCAATTTGTGGGTTCTCTTTTTACTCTTTTGGCAGTGTAATTATCGACAAGAATGAACTTGTTGCTGTCATTTTGATATGTGCTTTTTCATGGTGTTGCTGACTTCTTTGTTCTATATAATTTTCTGTGCTGAGCTCATTTTGTTTATGGATCATATTATCACTTCCTATGTTGCTCTTGTTTTAATGTTTGCTAAATATTTGTGCTGGTCCTCTTTTTTATTCTATGTGAAGGTTTGTCATTTTTCTTTGAAGTTACCCTGTGATTTATAATTGTCTTCCCAAGTTTAAAACAGTCTGTTCTATCTTGCAGTTGTCTTGACTTCCTTACCATTTAGAAGTTCTATAACTACACAATTTTTTCCCTCTTTTTGCTTTGTAGTTGTCCTCATTTGTCAATTGATGTCTCTGGTTCCCTCTTTACAATCTTGTAGACTTATTTACTTTGGATACTTCCATAACTGGCTTGGTTTCTGGATAATGTCATCATGTGTGTTACTGGTCAGTTGTTGTTTGCTGTTGTTGCTTCTCTGTCCAAAGGACTCCCTTTAGCATCTCTTGCAAGGTTGGTCTGGTTTTAACAAATTCCCTTAATTTCTGCTTATCTGAAAATGTCCTAATTTCACCATCATATTTGAGGGACAGTTTTGCTGGGTATATAATTCTTGATTGGAAACTTTTTTCTTCCAGGGTTTTACATATACCACCCCATTGTCTTCTCACCTGCATGGTTTCTGCTGAGACATCTGAGGTTAGTCTTACTGATTGCCCCTTGTAGGTACCTTTTTGTTTGTTCCCTGCTTCTTTCAGGATTCTTTCTTTTTCTTCTGTTTTGGTGAGATTGATGATGATATGTCTTGGTGATTTCCTTTTGGGGTCTACCCTGTTTGAGGTTTGTTGGACTTGAATGGATATATTCTCATATTTCATCATACCAGGAAAATTCTCTTCCAACAAATCTTGGACACTTTTCTCAGTGGTTTTTTTTTTTTTTTTTTTGTCTCTTTCTGTTCTGGAATTCCAATTCCACGTAGGTTATTCCTTTTGATGGTTTCCTGCATGATCCTTAGGCTTTTTTCATTTTATTTTGGTCTTTTTTTCTGATTGATCCCTTTCCAAAGAAGTATTGAGGTATTTGTCTTCAGTCTCACTAATTCTGTCTTCCATTGATTTAATTCTACTCCTTTGCCCATTCAATGTGTTATCTATTTCTGAAAATTTAGTGTTAATCCTCTGGATTTCTATCTGTAGATTTTGTATCATTTCTAATTTTTTATTTATTTTGTCATTTTGTTCTTGTATTCTCTTTTGACATTTAGCTAGGGTTTTCTCTGTGTTTCCCTCAATTTTGTCAGTGTTTTCCTTGATCTGTCTCTCAGTCTGTTGAAGGTACCTAAATATAATTCTTTTGAATTCCTTCTCAGGGAGTTCCAATGCAGCTACTTCCTCAGGGATATGTTCTGAGTCTGTATCCTGGTCCCTTGTTTCTCTTGCTTTATCTTGCTTCTTTGTGCAGACTGTGATGTTTCGTTGTCTGTGAGACATTGTGATGTTTTTGTGTTTATATTTAATGGTGATTTTATGTCGGAGTGACTTGCTCACAGTTTTTGTTTTCTTTCTTTTGTTTGGATGTTATCTATGTAAGCAGGGTACTGTGCTCCTCTGTTTGCTAGTTGGCAGCACTTATACACTCACCACCTGTCTCCTTTCCCGTTGTCAGCTCCTGTATGTCCCTGCAGTCCTTGGCAAACGGAGCCTATTCTTAGGTCCCTGGAATCCGAATGAGAATGCTGTCATTTTAAATATCAAAAATGGCTGCTACTTGTAAACATTCAAAATGGCTGTACCGTTGGTCATTTTAAGTATCCAAAATGGCTGCTTGTAAACAATCAAAATGGCTGTGCCCTCTGGACAGGTGAATGTCCACAGCTCAAGTTGTCTCCCTCCTTGCTGTTTCCCTTCCTAGTCCTAGGCCACCAGTGCAGTCGTCCCTGCAGGCTTTGGTGACCAGGGCTAATCTTCAGGTCAATTCTCAGGTCCCAACATCAGTTGGAAATATTCAGGCTGTTGGTGCCATCAGAGTAGCTGACAGTCTGCAGCTTTGTCTGTCTCCATACTCACTGTTTTCATTCAGGTTTTTCACTAGTTGGTGCCTAATCCACTTCTGCATACTTCCTTTCAAAGCTCAGGGCTCCAGGATTATCTTCTGTATCTTTATCAGTTGATTTCTCTTTTCTTTGTTGAAGAGGGTCTGTGTAGCTTGTCTGCCTATTCCACCATCTTATCGGGAGTCCACACCTATATTGACTTTTATATGTTGAACCAATTTTGCAATCCTGGGATGAATCCTCCTTGGTCATGATGTATAATCCCTTTTATGTGCTGTTTGATGCAGTTTCCAATATTTTGTTGATGGTTTTAAAACTATATATGGGATATTGCCGTGTAGTTTTCCTTTCTTGATGCCTTTGTCTAGCTTTGGCATAAGGGTAATACTGGTTTCAAAGAATCAATTAGGAAGCTTTTCTGCTTTTCTGTTTTTGGAAGAGTTTGAGAAAGATATTACCACATAGGCCTTTGTTAAAAACAGTTTAGAACAAAATTGAAGTGATACATCTTTTCTAAAAGTATCTCTTACTGAGAGATCTGAAGTTTAAATAATTTATTATAAAGCCCTTAGTTTTTAAAAATTAAAATGCTATACTAATAAGGGTCCAGGATAAGTTTTCATCTCTTCTGTTAGCCAGATTTTTAAAAATATGTAATTTATGAAAGATAACAATATATAGAGAAAATTAAAATGTCTTTTCTAAGCCTTCTGTAAACATTAAACTTACTATCTTCATTATTCTTTTACTCTCTTCTATGCCAGAATTTTTTTTTTTTTTTTAATTTTTGCTCTTTAAAATATGTGGTCTTATTCTTCACAGTTTTACACAAAGATCCAAGACAGGTGTATCTTTGTCTTCTTGAAATTGGTCGAATTGTGTCAAGGTATGTATTCCACAGTATTTAAAATATTACAAACATTTTCTAGACTACTTTAACTTAGAACAGTATTTTCTATAAATAAAGTAATTCTTGATTGAAGTCAAATAACCTAATTTCCTTTTTTTTTGGTTTGTTGGTTTAATATCTCCTCTCTTTTCATGAGCTATGTTATTTGTCAACATCTGCTTTCTCATGTAGTTTGTCTTCATTAATAATAAATTATAAAAGTGATTACTTAAATTTCTTAGATTAAGAAGAGGGTAAAAACATAGTCTTATATCAGTTTAGGCAAGGAAATGGCAAATCCTCAGTATACAGAAAGCTTTGATAAGAAGGCTGAAACTTGGTGTCTTCCATGCCTGTCTTAGCCCCATCCCTACTCATAAGCTGGTTATAAAGAAAGGTGCCTTTCAGGAGCCCAGGTAACTAAGTGTATGCTATGCTGTGAAGATTATGATCTACATTTTAGCAATTAAAAAGCATTTTGAGACATGTGCTAGGGAGAATCATATAGATTTTGCTTTAAAAATAAAATATAACCTATCATGATATATAGAGAAGTTCTTGGGCCAAACCTTGATTGAATGATAAGATCTCCTGGTTGCTTTTCAGATACGGGGTTGAACCACCAGTGTTAGTAAAACTTGAGAAAGAAATTGAGCTAGAAGAGACCTTGCTTAATACTTCTGGGCCTGAAGAATCCATCAGCATTCCAAAATCGTGTTGTCAGCATGAAGAGCTACATGAAGCTGTAAGTAATTGCCACATTTTCTTTTGACTATGATACTTTACAGACTCATGCTTTTATCCATTTTTAGTTTGCTACAGATGATGTTGTGTTTACTATTTACAAGACAGTGTTTCTAATTCAGAATATATACTAATCTTTACTTTGCATTGAGTTCATATCTTTTGTGTGTGTGTGTGTGTGTGTGTG